AAAAAAAAAAAAAAAAAAAGAATCTCCTTAAGAGCCCAAGAAAGGCCTGGCTAAGCTGGGTGGAGGTGGATCTGCCACCCTGTCCTCAGATTTACAGAGTAGATCTATGTGTCACACTTGGCTGTGAGGGGGCAGCTTGGGTCCTCCAGCAGCTTCATCTCTATTGTGTATATGTCTAAGAAGAAACAGCTCACCAAGATCTCCTGCAGTCCAAGTAATTCAGGCTGCAAATACGGCCCAGACACCTGCAGACCTGCACCTTTCCACAGGCTGGTTGTCTTGAAAGCCATGGAGGGAGGGAGCCCTTGGTGCCTCCTTGCAACACAGGCCAACTTCCTGTTTGTGCCTGTGGGTGGGACTTTATGAGTTTAAAGGAAGCCTAGCCATGCCCTGTGGGGGGCGAAAACTGGCAGGCCTGCTCACCTGTGCCAACACCTACTCAAGGGAAGGGGGCGGTGCTGGTTCTGCTTGGACAGCAGACAGCTGAGATGTACGTAAGGTGGTGGTGGGAGCTGTTTTGGTGAAACCCAAGACTTCTGTGTCTGCTTCCCAAGGATTTCCCTGTGTTTGGGGAGTGGGCTTAGAGTGTGATCCCTACAGAGCAGGGGAGGGTGACAGAGTCATGCCCCATAGCCAGCCTAATTAGGGCAGCCAGGTAGCTTAACTCTCGGTCACGTGCTGCTCACCCCCTCCCGGGGTCGAAAGCCAAGTCCAGTAGACTGTGAAGTCAAGAGGCCAGAGGTGCAGCCTCGGGCCACCATCTAGCTACTATTGGGCTGTGTACTGAGTCTGCTGTTGAGGGGGTGCTGGGCAGACCACTCCCCTCCCTGGGTGGGGGGCGCGGCCTCAGCTGCCCCGCCCCGCTCCTCCAGGTCCGGCCTGGCGGGCACCCGGAGTCCGGAGCCCGGAGCCCGGAGCGGGTTGGGGAGCCGGCTTTCTCGTGGCGAGGAGGTGGGCGAGTTGGAGCAGGAGCCAAGCAGGAGCTGGAGCAGGAGCCGAGCAGAAGCTGGAGCGGATGCGCAGGTGGCGCTAGGTGAGTGGTGGGGCAGCGTAGGTGCAGGAACTCCTTCCTCCTGCACATCCCTGCTCGGGAGCGAACTTTACTACACATCTGGGGAAGCTGGGAGTTGGGGTGAGGAGGTGTTTCCCACACGATGGGTCGCAGGAAAAGAGTCTGAACAGAGAAGCGACACAAACTCACACCGACAGTCCCTTACACACGCGTGCACAGACCCACGCATGCACTTGGGACACACGAACACACGTGCACTGGGAAAGAAGGCGCCCAGCGGCTTAACCTTACATTCAAGGGCAGCGCCAACCCGCGCAGACCCCTCTGCGGGCGGGACACTGGTGTAATGTATTTGGCGGAGGTAGGGGAGAGGGCAGCCCCGTGACCGCCGACGCGGGTGGGCCGGGTGGGACGCATCCGGAGGTTCCTGCTTTCCGGCGGTCCGCAGGTGAAAACTAAGACGTAAACAGGGGCCTGGCACGTGATCACTCCGCAGATTAGTGGACTATGCTCCCCCAACCCTACCACTGGGCGAGGACCCCCTCCCTTGCAGAAGTTCAGGGCGAGTTTGCTTGGTCCCACGCTGGACTGTATTCCATTCTCGGCCTGGAGCGGTGATGAGCCACGGGAGCACAACGCCCCCTGGAGCCAGGGTGGTGCAAGAGGCCGAGAGACTGTTGGGCCAGGGTGCGGTTACTTGGGCTCTTTGCCTGGTGTCTGCATCCCTGAAGGTATCAGAGAGAGGCCCTTGATGGGCCTGGACAGCTGCCCAGCCCAGGGCACAGCTGCCTGAGCGCCTGTGGATCCCTTTCTTATCACCACCTCCACCCTTGCTGGAGTAGGAGTCCCTTCCCCCCAAGAGAATGCATGAGTGTAAATACCCCCTCAATACCAGAGAGGGCATACCTACTTCTAGTAGAAAGGAGGATGACCTCCTTTCCCCCAGGGAATGAGGGAGTGGGCAGCAGCCCTATACCTCACTC